TTTCTTTCTCTTTTCCTCTTTCTTTCTCCCTCTCTGGATCCCCTGTTTTCTTCTTTGGTTCTCTCTGCTGCTGTGTGTGGCTTACCTACGTGTTCTCTCTCTCCATGGCTTTGCTCTGTCCCTTTGTCTCTCTGTATGTGTCTTTGCCTGTCTCCCTGTTTCCTCTGGGTGTCCGTTTCCCTCTCTTTTGGTCTTTTTCTGCGTGTATCCTTTCCTGTCACGCTCTCTCTCTGCCGCCTCCCTCCCAGGCTGGCCGCTACCCCTGGCCTTCTCCACCTGTGAATGATTCATTGGAGCAGGAGCCCCAGAGGCAGCTCCCAGCGGTGCTGGGCGGAGCCTGGGAACCACCTCCTCGAGGAGACGGGCTGCCCCTGCTCACCATCATCGTCACTGCTTTTGTCCTGCTGGCAGTCTGTATCGTGGTGGCCGTCCACTTTGGTCCGAGGCTGCAACAGGGCCATGCCACTCTCTCTACAGAGCCACCAGCCCCAAAGCCAGAGGGCGGCATCTACCTCATCCACTGGAGGGTGCTGGACCCCCAGGACGGTTGTGAAGAAGCACAGCAGGGACCTCTCATCCCTGGCTCCTGCCCTGCGTCAGAGGGGCCCAGGTCCAGCATCGAGGAAGTCACATATCTGTAGAAGGGAGACTTTGGAAAGTTAGCCTGATCTGGCTCAAAACAAGAAACTGGATGGAGAATTAGGGCAGAAGCCAATGGGAGCCCGGGCTTCAGGGCTTCGGAAGCACATCTTGGACTCAGCTGGAACTGCCCTCTGGAAACATTTACAGAGAAAGCCCAGTTGTGGCCAGAGAAATAGGAGCTTGAGGTCCCTGCCCAGACGTGTGTTGCTGGGGCATTCCTGTTGCCCAAGGTGCCCTCCCAGAGTTGCTCCCTCCTCTTCGGGGACCACCAGACCCTAAACCTGCTTCTCCCAGTCTCTCCCAGTTCCCTCCTGGAACCCCTAATCTTTTTGGTGTAAAGTCAACCTAGCTTGGGATATTCTGCTATCTATCCCACCCGAAGAGGAAATGTCAGAGGCCCCAAGGAGATGCCCTGCCTCCACAGCCCCCAGATCCTATGAAGGCCAGTGAGGGAGAGCCAAGGCAAAGAACCCAGGGGTCTGCCTTCTCTGGGACTCACTGGGACTCAGGGAAGAAGGAATGTCTCTTACCTTCTATTAACTGGGGGCCAGCTATTGGCTGTCAGAGCTAAGGTCTTGTTGGCAACCTCCCAAGTCCTTGTGTCCCAAGCACAATTTATAGTTCAAAGATTGGCTTTGAAAGCTGGGTGCGATGGCACGTGACTGTAATCCCAGCTGCTTGGAAGGCTGAGATGGGAAGATCGCTTGTGCCCGAGAGATTGAGACCAGCCTGGGCAAGAGCAAGACCCTGTCTCAAAAACAAAACAAAAAGATTGGCTTTGAATAGCCCCCACTGACTGTCTTGCCTTTGCAGACGTGATGGGGAAGTTTGGGAGCTTCTCATTAACTCCACTTTCTGTGTGCGTGGGCCTGTTGGAGCAAGCCCAGAATTTCCCACAGGACATTTCCCAGATCCAGGACTTTCCAGCTGGCGAGAAAACAGGAAAGGAAAAGGAGTTCCATGGAGCTTGTTTGGGGAGGGAAAGAGTGGGGCAGGCACCACTCCCAGCAAGGGCAGGGCATGGGACAGGGGGGAGGTGGAGGGAAAGCAGGAAGACACAGGGACCAGGATGACAGGCAGAGCCTCTCGGTCGCTCTCTGGAAAGGTATCCCTTTCCCTGGCACCTCTGAACCTCATAGTCAAGAACATGTAGACAAGGCCAGGCGCAGTGGCTCATACTTGTCATCCCAGCACTTAGGGAGGTCAAAGCGAGAGGATTACTTGAGCCCAGGAGTTCTGGGCAACATAGTAGACCTTGTCACCACAAAAAGGTTAAAAAATTAGCTGAGCAGCCGGGCTCGGTGGCTCAGCCTGTAATCCCGCGTCTTTGGGAGGCTGAGGTGAGTGGATTGCGTGAGCCGGCGGGTTCGAGACCCGCCTGGGTAGCGAGACCTCATCTCTACAATAAATCAAAAAATCAGCCAGGTGTGGTAGCGTGCGCCTGTAATTCCGGCTATCGGAAGGCTGAGGCGGAAGGATCCCCGGAGACCAGCAGGTCGAGGCTGCGGTGGCCGGGAGCGGCCACTGCACTCCAGTCTGGGCGACCGGGTAAGACTCCAACTCAAAAAATAAAATAAAATAAAATAATTAGCTGAGCATGGTGACGCACACCTATAGTCACAGTTATTCAGGAAGCTAAGTTGGAAAGATCGCCTGAGCCCAAGAGGTTGAGGCTGTGGTGAGCCATGATTGTGCCACTGCACTTCAGCCTGGATGACACGTGAGACCCTAGCTAAAAAAAAAAAGAAAAAAAAAAATACAGGCAAGGCCAGGGGCAGTGGCTCATGCCTATCATTCCAGCACTTTGGGAGGCCAAAGTGAGAGGATTATTTGAGTCCAGGAATTTGGACAACTTAGTGAGACAACTTAGTAAGATCTCATCTCTAAAAAAAAAAACAAAACAGCTGGGTGCAGTGGATCACACCTGTAATTTCAGCACTTTGGGAGGTAAAGATGAGGATTGCCTGAGCCCACGTGTTTGAGACCTGGGCAACTTGGCAAGACTTCATCTCTACAATAAATTAAAAAAAATTGGTCAGGCATATTGGTGCACACCTGTGGTTCCAGCTGTTTGGAAGGCTGTGGCAGAAGGATGACCTGAGCCCAGCAGGTTGAGGCTGTGGTGGCTGTGACCATGCCAATGCACTCCAGCTTGAGTGAGAGTGAGACTCCGACTCAAATAAATGAATGAGACTGGTGAGAAGCAGCTGTAATGTTAATAGCTCCTTCTTGTGGGTCAGCTACGTGCTGGATACCAGGCTTCTCGGTGGACCACAGATATTATACTACTCACTCCTCCCAACAACCTTAGGATGAGGGGCCACTCTTATGCTCATTTTATACTTGGGAAAACCATGGTTTACCAAGATACCCATGTAGACACAGGTACTAAGTGATGGAATCAGGATTTGAACCTGAGCATCCACTGGGGACTGGACTGGACGCGTGGGAAAAGAGCACAGTGGAAGGGCCCTTGATTCTGGGCTGGTTTCACTGATTTGCTGTGAGAGAACCCAGGCCTTGGTGGGTAGACTGTTTCCCCTCAACTCCCTTGGCTCTGTCATCCCTAGGGGCAGCCAGTTCCTTCTAGCAGACATGTGTCTGTGTGGTGCATTTGTCCACAGTGACCCTGTACTCAGAAGTGCAGACTGAGCATGGATCTAAAAGAAAAAAGTAGCAGGGCTCGGTGGCTCAGCCTGTAATCCCGCGCCCTTGGGAGGCTGAGGTAAGTGGATTGCCTGAGCCCGCGGGTTCGAGACCCGCCTGGGCAACTTGGTGAGACTTCATCTCTACAATAAATCAAAAATCAGCTGGGCGTTGTAGTGCGCGCCTGTAGTTCCAGCTACTTGGAAGGCTGAGGCGGAAGGATCGCCGGAGCCCAGCAGGTCAAGGCTGCGGTGGCTGGGAGTGGCCACTGCACTCCAGTCTGGGCGACAGAGTGAGACTCCAACTCAAAAAAAAAAAAAAAAAAAATTAGCCGAGCATGGTAGCCAGTGCCTGTAGTTCCAGCTACTTGGAAGGCTGTGGCGGAAGGATCGCCAGAGCCCAGCAGGTCGAGGCTGCGGTGACCGGGAGCGGCCACTGCACTCCAGTCTGGGTGACAGAGTGAGACTCCAACTCAAAAAAAAAAAGAAAAAGAAAAAAGTGGAATGGAGGAACAGCCTGGCTTGGTGTAACAGATGGAATGAGTAGAGACAGGCTGCATTCCCTCCCAGATGGGGGCAGTTGTGCTACACCGCGGTGCTGCAGTGGCTTGGTTCTAACAGTAATGGCATAAGGCATGGCAGGGTGGCTGGCTGTGCCTTTCGAGGGCCCCCAGGGTATGTCCCATCTGTCACACAGACTTTCTCCCTTATCCCTATGCAGACACTCTCATCTGAGGACATTATTCAGCGGCCCCCTGCTCCTTTGAGTGGCCCCTTGCTCAGGACACAGCTGTGTACCACTCATGGCATCTGTGTGCTGGCTCAGGGCAGGCACTCACCGGAGCCAGGGCACCGAAAGGACCCAGCAATGTGCCCTCAGCCTACCTGGTGGGCTCTGTCCAGATTGCAATGACACCCTCCACCCCTCTGCCCTATACCAGGATGAGGAGAGAGCAAGGAAGCATATGTGTGCAAGCAGATTTGGACCTTGGGACAATCCGATCTCTGCAATCAGTCAGAAAATGATGACACACCAAAATTGTGTAATCTGAGGAATGTTTTAAAAAGGAACTATCGAGAAAGGACAGAGTCTGATGAAACCACAAGTGAGGGTGGGCACTCCAGTGGGCAGCCCGAAGTGGGGATGGGAGGAACGGTCCCAGAAACCCGGGGTCATCAAGAGGGCTGTCCGGCAGGAGAACCCACAGCAACCTTGATACTGCAGGGAGGGAGGTGGGAAACGACTGCCTCACCAACCTGGACTCCATTCTGCAGGGGTTCACCAGTGACTGAACGGGACCAGGCGCTAGAGGGCAAGGGAGCCTGTGGATGCCATCCAAGCCGATCAGTGTCCCAGGGCAGAGGAGGAGGAAAAGGGTGAGAGCCAGTAGGGGATGTCCAGTGGAAGACACTATGCTCATCCCTTCCATCCTTGGCACGTAGTTTACAAAAACTTCCATACACATACAGTCCTCATGACATCCCTGTGAGGCAGGCAAGGCCATGATGACAAATTCGTTCCACAGACTCAGGACACTGAAGCTCAGCGAGGTGAAACCACTCGCCCAAGGATACAGGACCCATCTGGAGATGTCGCGTCCAGGACTGTTTTCTGTAAGGTCCCTGTGGGAGGAAGTGTTTTCATACGCTGATGAAAACACCCTTTCAGAGTCCTGGAGACTGCTGGAGGCTCAGGCAGCCCGACCCTGGGCCTCAGAAGAAATCTGTGTGGAGAGAGAGGGGCTTTTCCATGCCACTGATGAGGAGCTCGGGCTCCTGGGACATCGTGGAGTTCCAGGGCACCACGGAGGTCCCCAGTCTGCTCAGAGTGACCTCCTCCCTTTCCTCTTGCCTCAGGTGCCGGAGAACCTCCTGGGCCAGTGAGAAGCTGCTTCCATCTTCAGGTTCTGGAACAGAGAGGTGGCGGAGAGTAGGGTGAGGACCTTAAACTTTCCCACAGGAACACCAGGATTTGCTGGTAAGATCCTCTAACCCTCCCCTCCCAACCTCCAGCCACTGGGGCTAGTTGCAAGGACTTCTATGCTAGAAGTGGTTTTAGAGATAATGGAATCGCACCCTCTTGCTTTTAGAGATGATGCTCAGAGAGGGGCAGAGACCTGCCTGAGGTCATACAGTGAGGGAATGCCAGAGCTGAGGCTGCAGCCTCAGTCTCCTGCACCCTGTACATACTGGCCTGGAACCCTCTTCTTCAGGCTCCACCCAGGGCCTACAGCCAGCGATCTCAGAAAGCAATCCAGTGTTCTGTTGGGGGAGGGGGTGTCCCAGAGGAGGAGGGGCAGGACTTGAATACCCTGATCACCTGGGAAGGCCCAGGGCGTGGTGCTACCACATCTCCTTCTGACCTTCTCGGAGACCCCAGGACCCCTGACTCCTACCCTTCAGTCTATCAGCCCCTCACCCTGGTAGACAATGAGGCGGCAGTTGTTCTGAGACTCAGGGGCGTCTGCCAGGATGTCCTCAAGTGTCCGGCAGAAGAGTTTGGCCTGCTCAAGCCGATTCTCCCGGCTAAAGCCAGCTCGGCCATCCTGTGACATGGTAAACAGCGACTGCAAGGGGGTGGCGTACTCCAAGACACAGGTGCCTACCTGAAGGAGGTGAGAGAAAGATAAGACTAAGCCAGAGGCCAGGCAGACAGACTAGATCCCAGTGCCATGGCTGCTGCGGAGATGAAGTCCTGAGAGGCAACCACCAGGATAGGGTCTGGGCTGTCTGGTCTGCCTTTGCCTTTGACACCTCACTGTGAAACCAGGGCCAAGGCTAGACTAAATTTACCCTTCACAGATCCTCCTAAGCACCCAAAGAGCTGGGCAGTCAACTACTCCAGCTGTAAATCAAGTCTGAGGACCGGGCTCTGGAGCTTAGCTCTGATCTGGGTTCCCCCGCATCTCCAGGAAATCCTTCAGATGTTCTCACAGCCTTCATCTAGGGCTGCTTTATGGTCCAGAGCATGATATACTCAAGTTGAAATTGTTTGCTTTCCCTATGTGTTTCTGAGCCTCAGTTTCCTCCACTGTAAAGTAGGAATCACACGAGTCCCCACCCCACAGGGTGGTGGTGAGGACTCAGTGATGCATGTAGAATGGCATCTGACATGCATGCAATAAGTGCTCAATAAGTGCTACTTATCATCATTCAGAGCTGAATCTTGCCCAGCTCTGGGACCAACTGGGCAAATTAAACTCAGAGAAATGCAATGAATTTTTTTTTTTTTTTTTTTTTTTG